TATGTCACGGATAGTGAAGATGTTCACAGCAGCAAAACAATAAACAGAATCTGACAGCAAAATGGTTCTTTGCCACACTGCAAAACTTTGGTGTAGAGCCTACCAGCATGGAAAGACTTTAAAGGGCATTACACGGCATCACCCTAAACACATCTCCTTATTCTGCCTGAAAGATCTCCAAGTGTATTATCCATTCTGTTGTTTTTCAGAGTCCTTTTTCTGTGGAGAGATTCTTTTCTGGATCCTGATTGACTTGAGAGGCAACTAACATCTGGGTGTGCCTCTTCTTCTACGTCTCCAGGAAAAACTAAGCTGGGTTTCCTTCGGGTGGCTGGCACCCCTGGCCTAGCCATAAGAGCTTCCCACTTTCCCCCGCTTTCCCTTTTTTTCTTTACTTCTAACTTGCATTTTGCATGATGGGTAAGACAACAGGAAGTGCTGGGCTTCCTCTCCAGGGCATTCAGCCGAAGGGATGTGCTCACCACAGAAAACAGTAGCGGAAGAGACAGAAACACACCCACCCTCCAGAAAGCATGCCCTTCTGCGCCTCCCGGTGCTGATCCCACCTCCTGTTCCAAGGTTGCTTTATTCCCACTGAAAGTTGGTTTTTAGCTGGGAGTCAGTGGCTCATGCCTGTAATGCTAGCTATTAAGGAGGTAGAAATTAGGAGGCTCACGGTTTGAAACCAGCCCTGGACAAATAGTTCATAAGACCCTATCTCCAAAAAACCCACAAGGATGAAAGGGCTGGTAGAGTGGCTCAAGTGGTAAGAATGCCTGCCTAGCAAGCATGAGGACCTGAGTTCAAACCCTGGTACTGCTAAAAAAAAAAAAAAGTTGGTTTTCCATGTGCCTTTCCCACACATTTCTCTAAGACAGTATTTTTTGAAGATGTGTAGGAAAGACTATTTTCAAACTTTGAGCTTCTAATGCCATCTCTGTTAAGATTTTTAGATTATGCAAGAAACGTTTCTCAGACCCAGCAACGTGGGAGACGCTGTTGTATAAACTCACTAAGGGTTAACCATTGAGACTTGGACCCATTTGGGGTCAGAATTGCTCTGCATGTTCTTCCATGTAAAACTTCTTATTGTGTTGCCCTTTAGAGGCTAAATACCCTTGAAATCAGAAAAGGGGAGGATTATTGATTGCAAATGTATTATGTCCAAGGATAAGAGTTGTAAATACAACCAAAGTTTGGAATCTAGTTTTCCTATGTCACATCTAAGGGGTCTGGAAGTGGTGGGAGTACACAGCACCTGGACTGAGTGCCTACAGGATGATCGAAGGACCAAGAACAGCCAAAACACAACCAAGGACAGCGTGAAGATGGGAAATCGAACAAACACCCAGCCTAAAATGGCTGAGAGACACAAGAAGCTCTTGAAACAGTTACTAAAGAAGACAGTTTGGGTGGTGCTGGAGGTTGAACTAAGGGCTTCGCACCCATAGACAGGTGCTGTATCATTTGAGCCACACCCCCAGCACTTTTGCTTTGGTTAGTTTTGAGACAGGGGTCTCACTTCATGCCTGGGCCAGACCTCAGTTCTCCTATTTTATGCTTTCCATGTAGCTGGGATGACAGGCGCTCATAACCATGCCCAGCTTTTTAATGGTGGAGATGGAGTCTCTAGAAAATCTCAAACCATGATCCTTCCAGTCTCCACCACCCAAGTAGCTGGGAATTCAGGCACGAGCCCTGGTACCCACCTTAACAGCCTTTGATACCCATGATACCCATGACCTATATGAACCTTCTCCACATTTGCCATTTCATGTGCACTGTTCCACCACCACTAACCGCCTAGGGGATGACAGTTTGATAGGCTGATAAAGAGGGGCAGGTTGCTGAAGTTGCTTTTCTTCTCTTTAGCAAAATGATAACATCTTGACCACAGTTCCTATGACCTTCAGCAAATCTTAACTGCTCTTAGCCTTGGGTTTCCCTGAGAGCAAGTAAAATTATTCACATAATGCACGTAGCACAAAACAAGAGTTTGATGATTGTCCATTAAGATGAAAGAGATGAGGACAAGTGAGTGAGGAGTATGTTTTCTAGCACTTTCTCCCTAGCCCTGTGGTCTGCCTCTTTTGACCATCACAACACCCACACTCTTAGAAACCTTTAGAGCTAGAAACTTCTCCCAGTCTGATTTGGATAAAATCTGAATATATGTGCAATACGATGAGATGTGCCATCTCACTCATGACCACCTCCTTCCTCATGTACACTCAACAATGAATCAGAGGATTGCTATCTTTGTGAGGTGACTGTTCCAGCTCTGACTACACGCTTAGCACCCTGTGACTTTCTGGTGCTGGGATTTCTCTGGCTCAGTTGTACTAGAGAAATAGCTAGCTGCATCACTTAGGGTCCCAACAGGGGCCAGATGCACATTTAAACAAAGTCCTCCTGCATCTCCAGGAGGACTTGCAAAGGGACAATTTACATGGGCACAGGTAGGGAAAGGCAGCCCACAACAGATAAGCAAAATACAGGGGCGGGGGGTGACACAGAGAGGCTACCCATCCCTCAGTCCAGAGAGGAGGGACCAGTGCAGTGAGTGGTTCCAGACCCCAAAGCAGAGATTTGAATACAAAGGGCCACCTTGAGAGGAGTGTGACCTTTGGTTGATAGGTGCAGTCAGCTTGAGACAAATCCACAGGGGGAGTCAGGAGAATAAATAACCTGATCTCCCTATCCTCCTTCTCTCTAATCTGCCAAGGCTCCTTCTTAGCTAAAATAGAATTGAAAGCCAGAGGGCGGGGGAGCCATTGGGGTCAGCCTCCCGGGACAGGGTAGAGATGGGTGAGTGAGAGTGGATCTGGGGGTGCAAAGGGAAGTTATCTAGCATTAAATAATGAAAGTGGCCCCGCATAGGTCTGTGGTGAGCAAAGATGGCTATGAGGTGAATTAAGGATTAGCGTTTATTCATTTCATTGCAGCTGTGATCCATATAAAATTAGCTGACTTATTTTGGACCTCTAGGAAAACCTTAAGCTTTTGTTTAATTACTGTTACTCATGTTAACAGACCAGTTGCAGACATGATTTATCCTTGGTTCTGAACATTCTCTAGTGTGAATATTCTGGTACATGGTTACTTCCACCCACTGAGGAAGAACTCAGTGCTCCATCTAGCCGATGACAGATCCTAGACAGACAACCATTTGGGCCCCACCAGGAACTCTGGTTATAAGCTCTGGTGACCTTCCCTCTCCAGTTTTCCCCAAGAGGACATTAGAGTGTATTCTCTCCTGGAAGTAGAGGTAGGGTGGGGAAAGCAGGACAAAGTTACGGAATTTGCAGGAGAAATCACAGCTCAGGAGTAGAGGCAGAGTCACCTACCCTCTTCAATCTCACTATGCTGAAAGGAACCTACAAAGCAACCTTTGCCCTTAGTGCTGGATAAACTAGTAAGAGCAGCCACAGCCTCTAAAGTCACTGCCACTAGCAGGGGTAGATCCCAAACTATCTCCTTTCTGTCCTGGTGTTCTGCCTAAAGCTTCCATGCTTTTGAGTAATTCCTGTAGGTTAAGAATTTGCTTCCAGAAGTCCTTCTTTAAAAACATACATGCTGCCTAAAAAGGTGTGGTGCCTTTTGTGTGCTCAGCATCTCACTGAAGAACTCCAGTATTAAAGCGTGACTGCAGCCCTGTTCTCACAATTATTACTTCTGGCCTGGATTGGGCCAAGGTGCCAAGTGCGGCCTAGCATCCATGGTTCCCGCATCCAAGCCTGATCCTCAGTTTCTCCAGAGAATCTGGACTTTCCAGGATCCTTTTGCTAAATTCCCATGCTGCTTAAATCAGACAGCATCATCTTTAGTTGCAAGAAACCAGGAACATTGACTGATACAAAAGGTGGCATATCAACTCAAGACCGGTCACAGATACATTCATCTATCTAGTTGTGGCTAGATATATGTGGCTAGTTGTCACTGGGAAACAGACCCCAGGGAAAGGGTTTTTGTTGATGGGGGAGGAAATAAGGAGTCTGTTCTGTAGGTGACAGCTGAAGCATACCCAGAAGGACTGGACAGAGCTTCAAGGCAGCCTGAGGGCATCCAAGGCACTGGGGAGGGGGGTTTACTCTAAGGTTAGGGCAAACTCTAATGCTAGCTAACTGAAATGGCCTTGTTGAACATCCAAGAGAAGATTCTGCATTGTCAAAGTAAGACCACAGGTTTTATCTCTTTGATTTGCCTAAACATTTCTGTTGACATTAGTCAACATGGCAATAACAATCGATTTGTGGGATTTCTGTCCTCTTGTTCCCCCTTTGCCACACTGCATTTAATCCCTTTATGACCTCATAAGTGAAAATTAAAAAGTTCAAAGATGGTGTAAATCCTCAACTACCAAAGGGGCAGAGGCTGTGTCTTTCCTTTCTTTTCCTCCAGAAAGAGGCCCAGGGATTATTCGCTATTCATTGAGGGATGGAGGGAGAAAGGACGCCAGGGGTCTAGTGGTTAGATGCTGAACACAGGCTGAGAAGTTGGTGGTGCTTTTGGTGAAGAGTAGGAGGGCAGCAGTTAGCAGACTTCACTCCTCTGCATTCCTCAGAACAAGCACTGTGCCTGGGGTTTGGTTTGCTAAATGGATCAACTTAGGACCTGGTTATTGTTCTTCTAGCTTTTCTATGGAAGGATCCTGTCGGTTTGCCAGAGACTCCAGACATGAATCCAGGGCACTGGGAGAAGGCCTTGCCACAGGCCCTTTCTCACTGTGGTGGCAATACAGCCAACACCAGAGGCGAGAGTTCTCATCTCCAGCCGTGCCTGGAAATTCCCAGGGCACTGATTCCTGCCCTCCCTAGGCCATGATCTTAGGGCTGTGTTTGCTGTAGTGTAACCCTGGATTGATACCTTTTCTCCTCCACAGACATCACCAAAGGCAGGTCACTGAAAAGTAATCTAAGGAAAACCATTAAAGAACATTAGAAAAAGAATAAACACAAGCTGCAATTGATTTATAAAATATTTGTGAGAAGTACCTTTTATTTTCACAGAATATGAAATAATAAATATTTTTCCAGGATGATGAGACTGACTCATAAGGGCAGAGGGAGGAAGGACTTGAAGGCTTTGACTGAGGAATGGAAACATTTGAAATTTTCATTTAACCCTCAACCCATCAGTCTTGGCCTTGATACAGATCTTAAAGTCTAGCAGAGCACATGCCCTTCTATGCACAGGCCCAGTGTCTAACCTTGACACAAAGCCAGGTCAGTAGATGGAGGACCAATGGCAGCGACTCTTGATCACTTGAAACAGAGGCTTCTTAAAAGTGAGGAAGATGATGGCGCATGCCACCAGCAGGGTGAGGCAGCTGGGGAGAATGAGAACGAGGTAGAACAGGCCCATGTCCACCTGCTCCCATTTACAGTCCTGAAGCACGCCTCCAGGCAGCTCCATCACACGAATGACCTTGGTGGAGAGATTGCAAGTGACCATGGCCAAGTCTGCAATGGTCTTTAGATGCTCCAGGGCCCCCCACCCCTCCACTCCGCAGCAATCGTATGGATTCTGGCTGAGGTAGACGGTCCACAGGCTCCTGAGGAGCTGCTCGGTCACGGCCCTTTGGGGAAGGGCTGTGAGAGAGTTTCTGCGGAGATCCAGAGTCCGCAGGGCCAGGCTGCCCCCAAACCTTGGGAAGCTGGTCAAGGAATTTCCCGACAGATCCAAGTGCCTCAGGTTCCCAAACCCAGAGAAGTCCAGCTCCATGAAGTTGGAACTGAGGCCCACATTTCTGAGAGACAAGACTTGTAATGTGGGGGCAATGTCCTGCAGAGGGGAGATGCTCCCATTCAGAACCCCCCAGTTGCCAGACAGGTCTAAGTGAGTGAGGGAGGTACCCTGGAACGGGCAGTCCTGTAATGTCCTCAGTCCACAGCCCTCCAGAAAGAGGCTCTTCAGAGATGCCATGTTCCTGAAATCCACACAGCTGGGAGGACCGGCCCCATCTAAGGGAGCTGGCTGGGGACAGAGCGAGAGCTGATTGTGACTCATGTCAACTGTAGTGATGTTACTGGCATTGGCAAAAAGGCCAGTGGGAACACCCAGGAGCTGGTTGGAACTCAGGTTAAACAGGCGGAGGCCCCGCAAGCAGCCAGTGAGGCCTGGGGCCAGGCGTAGCTCTGACAGCTGGTTGTGGCTCAGGTCCAGCTCAGTAAGTGCTCCAGAGGGCTCGTGCTCCTGGATGTGGAGCATCCTCAGGCAATTCTGGTTGAGGTTGAGGTGGGAGAGGGAGGGCATTTTCTTTAGGAAGCCATCTGGCAAGTACTGGAACTGGTTCTGGCTCATGTCCAGGGAGCGGAGAGCTGACAGGTCACTAGAGGCAAACTCTTCCCACAGGTTGACCGTGGTGATGTTGGTCACGTTGCCGTCCACAAGGAGAAACTGGGCCACCATATCCTGTGAGGACGAGGTGTTGTACAGGTCCCTGTAGAAGCCCATGTTGTTGTCCTGTAGCAGGAGCGTGTGCAATTTACTGCACTGGGGCAGGAGGGGGAAAAACAGCAGCTGGTTGTGAGACAGATCCAGCATCTCCAGCTCAAAGGCCACCTCTTCCCTGGCCGCTAGGAACCACTCTAAGATGTTGTAGCTGACATTGAGGAACCGCAGCTGGGTGAGGCTGAAGTCCACAATGCAGGGGAGGTTGTTGTAGGCCAGGTTAAGGTGTCTCAGCTCAGTCAAGCCAACAAAAGCACCACCCTCAATCTCAAAGATGTAGTTCCTCTGCAAATCCAGCTCCCTGAGGTGCTCCAGGCCCTCAAAGATGGAGTCATCCAGCCTCATGAGGGTGTTCCTTGCCAGGGACACGGCCTCCAGAGAAGACAGGTTCTGGAGCATAAGTGCCACCATGTCCTCCGTCAGGGAGTTTCCTGACAAGTCCAGCTTCTGCAGCCCCGGCAGGGCGTGGAGAGCTGCTGCTGTCTCCTTGTAGTTCTCAGACAGGCAGTTGTCAGCTAGGCCCAGGTTGCGCAGGTGGCCTTGCTCCCGGAAGGCGTGGCGGCCAATGCGCTCCAGGTGGCAGCTGTGCAGGCTGAGGCTCTCCAGGAGGGGGTAAGGCTGGAGGGAATGATTCCACAGGGTCTTGAGAGGGTTGGTGTCCAGGATGAGTGTCCAGGAATGGGAGGGGAGGTTGTCTGGCACCGATGCAAGATTCTGTCCTTGGCAGTCAGCAACTCTACCCAGCTAGATCGAAAAATACACAGGTCAGTGGGAGGACACCTTTGAGGCAGAGGCGTGTGCACAGAAACGTGGTTCATTTTTGGACTGTCTTTGTAACCTCTTGAAATGGCTCTAGAGATCATTGTTAATTATTTTTATTAGATTGATGCTGGGAACTAAACCCAGAGCTCTACCACTGAGCCCTAGAGATCATAATTTTAATATAGGATAGGAAAGGTTCTTTACCTTCATATTTAAAGTCAGCTAGGAAATAAAGGAAACGCAAATTAAAACCACGCTAAGATTCCACCTCACCCCTGTTAGAATAGCCATCATCAGCAACACCATCAACAACAGGTGATGGCGAGGATGCGGGCAAAAAGGAACCCTTTTACACTGCTGGTGGGAATGTAAACTAGTACAACCACTCTGGAAAAAAAATTTGGAGGCTACTTAAAAAGCTAAACATCGATCTACCATTTGATCCAGTAATACCACTCTTGGGGATATACCCAAAAGACTGTCACACAGGTTACTCCAGAGGCACCCACACACCCATGTTTATTGCGGCACTATTCACAATAGCCAAGTTATGGAAACAGCCAAGATGCCCCACCACTGAGGAATGGATTAAGAAAATGTGGTATCTATACACAATGGAATTTTATGCAGCCATGAAGAAGAACGAAATGTTATCATTCGCTGGTAAATGGATGGAATTGGAGAACATCATTCTGAGTGAGGTTAGCCTGGCCCAAAAGACCAAAAATCGTATGTTCTCCCTCATATGTGGACATTAGATCAAGGGCAAACACAACAAGGGGATTGGACTTTGAGCACATGTTAAAAGCGGGAGCACACAAGTGAGAGGTGAGGATAGGTAAGACACCTAAAAAATTAGCTAGCATTTGTTGCCCTCAACGCAGAGAAACTAAAGCAGATACCTTAAAAGCAACTGAGGCCAATAGGAAAAGGGGACCAGGAACTAGAGAAAAGGTCAGATCAAAAAGAATTAACCTAGAAGATAACACACATGCACAGGAAATCAATGTGAGTCAACTCCCTGTATAGCTATCCTTATCTCAACCAGCAAAAACCCTTGTTCCTTCCTATTATTGCTTATACTCTCTCTACAACAAAATTAGAAATAAGGGCAAAATAGTTTCTGCTGGGTATTGAGGGGGTTGGGGGGAGCGGGAGGGGGGGAGTGGGTGGTAAGGGAGGGGGTGGGGGCAGGGGGGAGAAATGACCCAAGCCTTGTATGCACATATGAATAATAAAATAAAAAATAAATAAATAAATAAAATAAAGTCAGCTAGGAGCTGAATTCCTATCTCACTTATTAAACAGAGCAGTAGAGAAGATCTGAACACCTGGTAGCAACTGTGCATGCAACTTGATTTTTAGGTCTGAGGATGGAAGGCCAGGTGGTACTTGGATTTGAACTTCACCTCTACCATTTATTTCCTCTGTGATCTTGGGCAAATAATTTAGCCCAAGGTTGCTATTTCTTCTGAAAAAAAAATGGAGGAAAAAATAGTGCCTCCTTTGTGAGATTATAACAGTGGCTGCTTGTGAACAGCATAGCCTAGGGCCTGGTGCACAAGCAGTGCTTGTCAACATTCCCCAGTGCATTGGCATCGCTATGACATAATGTCTGTGGCTCTAATAAAGCCATTGCAAAACAGAGGGCAGCACTGCTGTGTCTTCACTTCACTTAGATCAATTTGCCTGGGAGGCTCCCCTACATTCTGCATTGCTAAATATCACAGCGTAAAAGGGCTTCTGAGCTCATTAGCACCCAAGTCATATAGAGAATTGAAGTGGGTCTCAAGGGCAAAGGTGAAGAATCCGTGGCAATCCTGAGTGGAACCAAGAGCCCAGAACTCCAAATGCCCAACTCTGCTTTTCCTGAGTGCTGTTCTGCTCTGATTGCCTTGTGTAAGGAGGGAGGAGGGATGGGCGGCCCCTGCTTTACTGCAAATCACACAGCAAGGCTACTTTATCTCAGTCTTGCAGTTTGCAAAAACTAGCAGAAACAATGAGCTATAAGATGTCAGTTATGTGTCCAGGGAAAATGTTTTAAGTGATGAGAACAGCAACATCATTCCTTTCTACAGATTGGTCAGAAATCGCCTAAAATCATGGCCAAATCCCTAAAGGGAAATGGAACAGGGGAGAAAAGCACCAAGTTTGAGCCTTGTCTCTGCTGCTTACTAGCTTGGGACCCTGGGCAAGAAAATACTAACCTCTTGGAGCCTCAAATTCTTTATCTGACTATTAAAATAAAACATTCTAATCACTAAAAATCGATGCTCTACTGAAATGTACCAAACTAAATTCTTTAGTAATCTGAGCCTCTCCCTTGGACAAATGCCTATAACCTTTTAATACCTCTCCTTCTGGCTCTTTTCTAAAGATATTTACCTAGCTTAAAAACATGAGAGCATACTCTACAAGGTATTCAGTAATCTACATTTTCCCCTTCAAGGACATCTGACAGATATGTGTTGGCAGTAAAAATACATTTGATCACATTCTTTTTAGGAACTGTGTTGGTTCACTGCTGGGATAGCACAGTGGCTAAAAGCAAGGGTTCTAATGCCACTTCACCTTGGCCCCTGGCTTTGTTTTCTTTTTTCTCTCTTTTTTTTTTTTTGGAGCTAGGGCTCCAACTCCAGACCTCAGGCAGGCTGAGCACACACTCTACTGCTGAGTGGCATGCCAGCCATTGGCTCTGTTTCTGTCCAGTAGCTGGTCTTGAATGCTTATCTAGCCACACAGCCTCATTGCCCTGCCTGCAAGATGGAAATTATACCTGGACTTTTCCCAAACATTTTTTTTTTGAGGATTGAGTGTGATTGCTTACATAAAACACATTTCTTACGTTTAGTAAACGTTAGTGACAATTATTAGCATGATATCCTTAGTAAATGTCAGCTATAATTATTAGCATGATCTAATTAATTAATCTCCCCACCGTTGAGCATCTGAGTTGTTTTTAATTTCAGAATGGACATTAGAGTGACATTTTCAGGTTCTTTCTACATCTCTACTCCTCCTGACACCCTAAAAAAAGATCTTTGAGGTTTTGATTGGGATTGCATTACCATTATGGACTACTTTTGGGGAGAACTGACACTTTTAGAAAATTGAACCTCCCCATTCAGAGACAGGTGTATTTCTTTATCTGAGTAAGTGGTGGTGCTCCCTCTGAGAGAACCCAATGGAAATTGTCGTAGCTAGGGATTTTCCTCAAACTGCAAAAGACGCTGTTCTGCCACAGTTGCTCTAGTCAAAAGGGTCAGAGCTCAGCAATTCCCTGGGGACCTCCTAAAGTGCTGCAAAGGACCACATGGCCATCGGAGCCCCAGAAACCCTTACCGTGCCCACTTTATTTTAACATCAAACGGCTAATGAAATGGGGACATCGGAGGCCACCTGGACTATCAGATTCTTGGCCCTCACGTCATAAAGAGCCACAGGAAATCCACTCTTCGAGCTCACAGATAACTAGTTGAGTCCCTACTCCTGCCCACCAGGCCAGAAGGGTCAGCAAGACAATCTAGCCTGAACCCTGAAAGGTGGACAAAGAATTCATGCTTTATTCCTTCTTTTTCCTGTGCTAACTAACTCTAGAATAGCAACTGTGAAGTTAACCTTTTATTGCCTCTGAAGGAAGCGGTGGAGTCAAAGGTAGTAGAGGTTAAATTCTGGTTTTTTTTTTTTTTTACACTGAATCAAACATAGGGCCTTGCACATGCTAGGCAAAGGTTCTACTACTGAGCTACATCCTCAGCTTGTTTTTTGTTTTTTGTTTTTTGAGACAGTCTCAAGGCTCAAGTCTCAAGGCTGGCCTTGAACTCTTGATTCTCTTGCTTCAGCCTCCTGAGTTCTGGGATTACAGGAATGTGCCACTATGCCTTGCTTTGAAAATAATAATATTAGACCAGGCACAGTAGCTTTTACCTATATTCCCAGCTACTTAGGAGTGGAGACTGGAAGGACTGCGTTTTTGAAACCAGCCCAGGGGGTAAAAGTTAGTAAGGCTCCCATCTCAACCAACAAGCTGGTGTGTGGTATGTGCCTGTAGGCCCAGCCACTGGGAGGTATAGATAGGAGGATGGTGTCTGAGGCCGGTCCAGGCAAAAACACGAGACCTTATCTGGAAAAAAACCAAACAAACTGAAACAAAAAGGACTGGAGGTGTGACTCAATTGATATAGTGCCTGCCTAGCAAGCAGGAAGCCCTGAGTTCAAACCCTGACACCACCAAATAATAGTAATAATAATAATACGATAATGATTGTGAAAATAGATAAAACACATGGCACTCCCTACCTACTAAGCATTTTCATGAGAGCTTTACCCAGATGAACTCATTTAATCATTGTAACAACCCAGAGCTGTGGTGCTATTGGTAGGTGTTATTATTATTACCTCCCTATTTTACAGGAGGCTGACCTAAGTCTGTCTCTGGGGCCTCCTGTGTTTGTCAGGTATGAAAAGGGTGGGGTAGGGGCTGCCTGGCCTTTCCCAGACCTCATCTTGAAGACCTGTGGCTAAAGAGCTCTATGCAGGTAGCATGGGGTCAGGCAGGTACGCTCACCTTGCCCTCCTTGATTGACAATCCCTCAGCCTTCCAAAGAGACCAAACCTTGCAGGTCAGGAGCAACAGACAAGTCAGGGTTTGAGGGGAGACTCACCAACTTGCAGCCCCCTTGGGAAGTGGCTGCGGCCGTCCCACTTCCGTTCCTCCATGCCACGGTCAAGAAGTGAAAACCCAGGCAAAGCCAGAGGGGCAGGAACTCCATCTCAAGTGCAGCACTGTGGACAGATGGTGAGGAAGAAGAAAGTAAGACAGGAACGCTCCAGAATTCTGCTTGCCTTGGGTGGAAGAAGCCGGTTCCTAGTTCTATCTGGTTTTTAGAGACCCACAGCTACATGAAGGTGGAAACCCACAGTTACTCAAATACCTCAAGTTCATTAACACTTTCAACCTTTCACTGAAACCATCGACAAGAACTCATTTTCATTTTCCCTATGCCATTTGATGGACAGTGGCTGAACTGTGAAACTCTGAAGACTGCAGCACAAGAAAAGCAAAGGATTACATAGCCAGAGCTCAAGTCACCGGGAGTTTCCCATGCTTTGTAATTGTGTGAGTTTTCCTCCCTGCAGCTCAAAATGCCTGGTACATTGTACAGCTCAAGAAATATGGACTGAATGAACAACTGAAAGGTGTACTGGGGTTATTAGCCTCTGGTTTCCTAGAGTTATCAATTATCTTACTGACATGAGGCTTCTAGAAAACCTTAGATCTCATTGGTTAGCTCATTTGAATATAGCCCATTGTAAAAAGGATTTTGGTATTTTGCCTGAATCACAAAAAAACTTGAGGGGAAAATAAAAGAGCAATCTTCAGATGTAACAAAGACATTGAGAAAATGTGGTTAGCAGCTCTCTTGCCTGGCCAGAACAACAGTCATGGGAAGGCCTATAAGTATGCACATGCCAACAGAATTGGCCAAGTAAGAAGAACCCTAAGGGAAACAGATAATTACAGCCTCTTCAAGTTTCCACACTGCAGGCAGGTGTGGTGGTACACAACTATAATCCCAGCTACTCAGGAGGCCAAGGCAGGAGGATCACAAATTCAAGACCAGCCTTGGTGAAAGTTATTGAGACTCCATCTCAAAAATAAAATACAAATACAAGGACTAGGGGTATAGTTCACGTAGTAGAGTACTTGCCTACTGCATTCATGAGGCCTGTGTAAGAGTAGCCCCCAGTCTTTCTCCCTGAGCTCCAGAATGAAAACCCAGGTAATAGCTCTCCTTGAAGGTGCTGTTGCATCTTCTGCCTTCCTGTTGAGAGAGTTGACAGCCCGGTGGCATCCCCTCCCAGCTCTGCACTCCTTAGAGAGGGAGGTGAGTTCCAGGCTCAGCATTTCACCTGCTCAGTCTTTCCATGACACCCGCAGGGGGACCACAGGTCAGCTACTCAGACTCCTGGGCCAGCAGCACCATACTAACTTGAACCTCCTCACCTATCCCATGCCACTCCCAGAACTTTCGGCTGACACACCTGCAGCCTCCTCTTTCCCTTTTTTCAAGTACATTTACCCATCCTGAAGGGCAATGTTAACTCCTGGACAGATTTGAATGCTCATGTGTGAAGACAGACTAATAGAAAAGCTAAGTGCTACTCAAGAGATAGGAGTGTGGTCTGAGACCAGCCTGGGCAAAAGCACAAGACCCTATCTGAAGAAGCAAAAAGCAAAAAGGGCTGGTGGAATGGATCAAGCAGTAGAGCGCCTGCCTGCCTAGCAAGTACGAGGCCCCGAGTTCAAACTCAGGACTAAAAAAAAAAGTGATGTGAAACCAGGTTAATCAGCCTTCACTTCAGACCTGGTCAGTTCTCCTCACCTCAGACACAACCTCCAATTCAGAATTCATCAGCTCTTGCCTGATGCTGGGAACCCCCTCCCACACCCTCTTTCCGCTTCTGCACCTGTGCAGGAATTACGACCTCATGGCTGGCACAGGGCACAGATGGCAAATGCAGAGACATGGGCTTCTGTTCTCAGTGTCCTCCCAGTATGTCCCCTCTCCACCCCTAAAACCTCAGGACCAGCTTCCCGCCTTGAGAAAAAGTTGCCAGATTCATCCAATGACAATCACCATTTGAGTGTCAGTCACAGACTTTCACTAAAACTTGTGTGGCTTGAGTTCGAATTTCACTGTTCATCATGCATTTTATCAAGAAGAGATGGGGACATTGTGGACATACTCCCTCCCTTCCTCTCCACCTCCCATCAGGCGTGGACTAGAACAGAATATTAAACACTGAATCCATGTGTCCAGGGCAGCTCAGAAGAACAACTCTTCAGATTGCAACGCTACATCAGCCTGGTGTCACACCTAAGAGTGCAAATTTAATTTCTGGGTCACTGAGAATTTTGCAATTTTTTTTTTTTGGTGGGACTGGGGTTTTGAACTCAGGGCTTTGCTTATGCAAAGCAGGCACTCTACTGCTTGAGCCATGCCTCCAGCCCATTTTTCTCTGTTATTGTAGAGATGGGGGGGGTCTCTCAAACTGTTTGCCCAGGCTGGCCTGGAACTACAACCCTCCCAATCTCAGCCTCCCAAGTAGCTAGGATTACAGGCCTGAGCAACAGTGCCCGAATGAATTTTGCAAATTTTAAACATATCCTCTCTTTCCTCCCAAACTAGCCAACCAGCTCAGAAACGATCTCCCCATGACTCCTGAACAACAACTTTTGGCTCCAAGTAGCAGAATGTCATGGGAAGATTATGGAATTTGGAATTTGACAGGTCAGAGTTTAAATTCTAGTGCCATAACTTGTTGTTTGCCCTTGATCAATTTATATAAGGTCTTCAATACAGCTAATCCTCCTATAAAGTGAGAATAATAATAACTATCCACAAAGGTTCATGAGAATCACAGTACAATACATGTGAAAAGTGTTTTGTTAATTGTGAAATAGTTAATAACATAATTATCATTTCTTTATTCCCATATTCTCAATTAAATAATGGAATTGTTGCTTGTAAACTCCAAACTCCAAAAAGCTGGTGGAATGGTTTTTATTCTTACATATAGCCTCCAAGATAATTCAATAGCAAAACAGAAAAAAGACTGAATAATTTGGCTGGAAGGAAGACTCCTCTCATTAAATGTGGGAAAGATTTGTGGGGAGGCTGGATTAAAAATTCTATATTAGTAATCCAGAATAAAACTGATCACCGGGGCAGATCATTTTGCTGGCTGAGAGCAGTGGGTCCTCAGAGCCATGGTTTCTCCCTCCCCTGCTCTGCTTTGTGTGACAGAGGCTGGCTTCTGAAGGTGTTTTCCAGACTCTGGCGTCAGTTGGCCTCCAGTGGGTTTGGTCATCAGGAGGCGCTGCTGGGAGCAGAGGGTTGGGGCCCTTCTCTCCTTCCCGCTCTGGCTTGGACGAGACATCTGTGAGCTTCTCCTGATGACCCCGTGGCTCTGGAACTGCCATCCTGTCCTTCCATCCTCCCCCACTTAGGGCAGTCAAGCTTCCTTAATTTCTAGCCCCTGGGTTGACTGTTGCCTGTTTGTTGTCTCCACCTTCTCCATCATCTGTTGCTAGCTCCTGCATTAAATTCCCTGATTTTTGTTTTTCTCCCCCCTGGTACTGGGGCTTGGCCCACAACTTGAGCCACTCCACCTGCCCTTTTATGTGATGAGTTTTATCAAGATAGGGTCTCGAAAACTATTTGTTCAGACTGGCTTTGAACCGTGATCCTCCTGTTCACTGCCTCCTGAGTAGCCAGGATTACAGGTGTGAGCCATTGGTGCCTAGCAAATTCCCCGTTTTAAATCATCTGAGTGGTTTCTGTTTCCTGGTTGGACCCTGACTGATCCAAGGATGTGAGTGAGAATGCAGCAGAATTAAATAAAAAGCTACACACTCCTGTAATCAGGAGGCCGAGGCAGAAGCATTGAGAGTTTGAGTTCAGCTCGGGCAACACAGTGAGACCCTGTTTCAAAATAAAAAATCAAAAGAGCTGGAGATGTAGCTCAGTGGTAAAGTACTTGCATAACATGTGCAAAGTCTTGGGTCCACACACACACACACCCCAGTGCTGAGGAAAAAAATGTATATAATGACTAGAAAGAATTAAAACACTCAAAATAGGCCAGGCACAGTGGAACATACCTGTAATCCTAGCTACTTTGAAGGCAGAAATTGGGAGAATCATTGTTTGAGGCCAGCACAGGCAAAAAATTAGCAAGATCCCATCTCAACCAACAAGCTGGCATGGTGATGCATTAACTATAATCTCAGATATGTGGAATGCATAGGTAGGAGGACTCAAGTCCAAGGCCAGCCCCAGGCAAAAACTGGAGGCTCTATCTACAAAATAACTAAAGCAAAATAGGCCTGGAGACATGCGTACATGGTCAGGTGGTACAGTGCCTGCCTAGCAAGCGCAAGGTCTGGAGTTCAAACCCCAGTACCATTTATAAAAAGAAAAAAAAAAGACTTCAAAAATAGTAGGTTAAGAAACACTCAACTGTGTGACAGCAGAAAACCTCAGTGTCACGGGCACTGCAAAGTCCAGGACAAACAGCTTGGGTACCAAATCTCATTAGCAAATCCCATGAGCCCCTCCTGTGAGCACAGGATTGCTTCCCTCCTCCTCTCCAACTGTCACTACTTCAGCAGCAGCTGGGGCAAGACTGTGACCTCTTTGCTCACGGAGCTACCAGCAAGCGTTATACATATATTACCACAGAATTTTGAGGAGAATTTTCTCCCTAAAATAATCAGCTGCAAAAGCTTCGAAGCAAGGCCGTGTGGAGAAAGCTGGCAGCCATCAGAGGCATTTTGTATGAAAGGCAATTTACAGAGTGCTCTAGGGAGGGAATCTCCAGAAGCAGGGTGTGCCCAAGTGCAAGGTCAAGGTGTGAGCACACCATAGGCAGATCTAGATAGAGGGCTGCCTTTGTGAAAGCGGAAAACAGCACAGCACATGGGATTTTGAGGGAATAAAGGACAGCCCAGCCTGTGACCACTTCAAACAATTCCTACTACCAAGAAGTAAAGACTGGTGTGACCTCAACCTTCCCCACAGTTCAAAGTGACACATACCAAAGTGAGGCCACCTCAGAGTGTGGTGCCTTAAGAACAGAGCCCTGTCACTTTCAGCTAAGTTCAAGTGTAGAAACGCAGAGCACCATCCTGGCAGCAAAATACGTGTGCCCCCGATCCAGTCATGGGGGAGCTCCCAACAGATCCAGGTTGTTGATGTCCTGGGAGTCTGGACTCTTCA